ATTAAAACATAAATTTTTAAAAAATTTTTTTTTTTTTTTAAAAAATATACATAAATTTTTTTTTTAATTTTATTTAAAAATCAAAAAAAAAAATAAAAAAATTATTTTTTAATAAATTTAAAATTTTTTTTTATTTACATAAAATATTTTTACAAAAAAAAAATTATTTTTATTTACCAAAAATTTTTAAAATTATTTTTTTATTTTGTTTTTAAATTTTTTTTTTTATTTTTTTAATATAGGCTAATAAATAAACAAAAAAAAAAATTTAACTAAACCAATTTTTTTTAAATTAACCCAATATTTTTTTAAAAATAAAATAAAAAAATTTTTTTAATAAATTTTTTTTTTTTTTTTTTCCCCAAAAAAATTTAAAATAAAATTTAAAATTAAAAAAATTTTTTAAAATTTTTTTAAATTTAAAAAAAAGGCCAATTTTAAACAAAAAAAAAAAAAAAAAACAAAAAATTTTTAAAAAATAAATATTTTTTTTAAATTTTTTTAAAAATTAAAAAACAAAAAACCCAAATTTAAAAATAAAATTTCTAATTCAAAAAATTAAAATATTTAAAAACAATTTTAAAAAAATAAACTATAAAAAATTATACCCCAATTACTATCAAAAAAAAAATTTTTTAAAAAATTTAAATAAAAAAAAAATATATATTTACTTTTTATTTCAATTAAAATTTTTTAAAAAAAAAAAAAAATTTTTAAATAAAACATTTTAAAAAAATTTTAATAACTTTCAAAAAAAATCTAAAAAAAAAAATTTTACAAAAACAAAAAAAAAAAAATAACCAAAAAAAAAAAAAAACCCCAAAAAAAAAAAAAACCCTTACAAAAAAAAAAAAAATAAAAAAATTAATTTTTATTTTAACATCACAAATCCCCCCCAAAAAAAACCCTAACCAAAAAAAAAAAAAAAAATAATTTAAATAATTTTTTGCTAAAATACAATAAAAAAAAAAAAAAACCCAATCTTTTTAAAAAAATTTTTTAAAATCCCCCCCAAAAACAAAAAAAAACCAAAAAAAAAAAAACAAAAACCATCCCACCCCCAACCCCCACAAACAACAAAATCCCCAAAAAAAACCCCCAAAACACCCCAACCTAAAACCCAAAAAAATTTAATTAAAAAAAATTTACAACCTTTTAACCCTAAAAAACAACCACCCAAACCCCCCCCCAAAAAAAAAAACATAAAACATACCCCTTTACATAAAACCAAAATCAAACCCAACTAAAAAAACAAACACCCAACATTAAAACAAACATTTTAAAAAAAAACCCTAAATAAAAAAAACAAAAAAAAAAAACCCCAAAAAACCCTAAACCCCCACCCCCCCAACCTTACAACCCAAACTAATCCAAACCCCCCCAACCCAAAAAAAAAACCACACAAACCCAAAAACCCATAAAACAAATAAAATTAAAAACCCCAAAAAAAAAAAAAAACCCCCCACAAAACCCAATAAAAAACAAATTATAAAACCCCCCCCTAAAAAAACCACCCATATAACAACCAAAAAAAATCCCCCCCACCCCCAAACCCCCCCCTAAAAAAAAAAAAAAAACAAATTCAAACAACCCAAAAAAACCAACCCCCCCCCCCCCCCCCCCCCCCCCCCCCCCCCCCCCCCCCCACCCCCCCCCCCCCCCCCCCCCCCCCCCCCCCCCCCCCCCCCCCCCCCCCCCCCCCCCCCCCCCCCCCCCCCCCCCCCCCCCCCCCCCCCCCCCCCCCCCCCCCCCCCACCACCCCCCCCCCCCACCCCAACCCACACACCACCCACCCCAACAACACCAACACCAACCCCACCCCAAACACCGCCCACCCACCACCCTAACCCTTACACACCCCCCCCCTCGAGGGGTACAAACTAATTCCCCCACTAATATAACCAATTACCGCATTCAACTATTAATTAAATTAAAACACACCCTATTCTATTCAAACCAATAACCCCAACTATCTACCCCCCCCCATAATTTAAGACCCCCTTTTCCAAAAATAAACCCCACATACTTACTCAACCCATCCCCAAACACTATCTAAAAAACTAAATTATAAAATCCACCCCACCACCCCAAGACACAAACAAACCCCACAACCCTCACACCCCCAACCCAAACCCACCCTCATACCCCCATCCCCACACCCCCACACATAAATCCCAACCCAACCCAAACAAGAACCCCCCCAACACCAAACCCCACCCCAACACCCCAACACAACGGAATACTATTTCACACCACCACCAAAAACCCAACATCCCACCAATACCCCCACCACCCCACCCCCCCAACCCCCCACCCCACCTCCCCTCACAGAACCACCAAAACCCCCCCCCCACACTCACCCAACCCACCGTCCAATACCCCACCCATCCCAATCCAAAGCCCCATAATACCCCACACTTCCCCCCCCCAACGGGGGGTGTAAAACCAAATCCATCACACCCTACCCCACCCACACCCCCACTCCCCCATACGTACCCGCCTCCGACAGGGACCCCTCTATAGTACCCGCCTCCGACAGGGACCCTCTATACGGTACCCGCCTCCGACAGGGACCCCTCTATACGTACCCGCCTCCGACAGGGACCCCTCTTACGTACCGCCTCCCGACAGGGACCCCTCTATACGTACCCGCCTCCGACAGGGACCCCTCTATACGTTCCCGCCTCCGACAGGGGACCCTATATAGCGTACCCGCCTCCGACAGGGGGACCCGCCTCGACAGGGACCCCTCTATACGTACCCGCCTCCGACAGGGACCCCTCTATTACCGACCTACGTACGTCCCGCCTCCGACAGGGGACCCCTCTATAACGTACCCGCCTCCGACAGGGACCCCTCTATAACGTACCCGCCTCCGACAGGGACCCTCTTTACGTACCCGCCTCCGACAGGGGACCCCTATACGTATATACGGTACCTATACCCGCCTCCGACAGGGACCCCTCTATACGTACCCGCCTCCGACAGGGACCCCTCTATACGTACCCGCCTCGACAAGGGGACCCTCTATACGTAACGCCTCCGACAGGACCACCTCTATACGCGCCTCAGACAGGCAGCGCACCCCCTAGGACGGGTCACACCCTGGGGGAAGATCTACAGACAGGCGACACACCCCACTAGTGAGGGTCGACACCTGGGGGAGGTCTACAGCAGTGCACACCCCATGTGAGGGGTCACACCTGGGGAGATCTAAGGGAAAGCTGCACATCTGAGGGGTCACACCTGGGGGATCATACAGGCAGCGCACCTCCACATGAGGGGTCACACCTGGGGGAGATCTACAGACAAGCGCACACCCACACACGTGGAGGGGTCACACCTGGGAGGTATCTACAGACAGCGCACACCCCAACCCCTTGTGAGGGGGGTCACACCTGGGGGAGGTCTACAGGCAGTGCACACCCCCTAGGACGGGTCACACCTGGGGAGAGATCTACAGACAGCGCACACCCCCATGTGAGGGGTCACACCTGGGGGAGATCTGGGGACAGCGCACGCACACGACACCCCAACATGAGGGGTCACACCTGGGGGAGGTCTACAGACAGAGCACACACCCCCATGACGGGGTCACACCTGGGGAGGTCTACTACAGGCAGCCGCACACCCCACATGAGGGGTCACACCTGGGGGAGGTCTACAGGACACGGTTCACACACCGGCCACATGAGGGGTCACACCTGGGGGAGGTCTACAGACAGCGCACACCCCGTGGGGGGACCACGGGTGAGGGGTCACACCTGGGGGAGGTCTAACAGGCAGTGCACAGCGTCACACCCCCTAGGACGGGTCACACCATAGGGGGAGATCTACAGACAGCGCACACCGTCACATGTGAGGGGTCACACCTGGGGGGAGGTCTACAGGCAGTGCACACACCCCACATGAGGGGTTACACCTGGGGGAGGTCTACAGACAGCGCACACCCCCACATGAAGGGTCACACCTGGGGGAGGTCTACAGACAGCGCACACTCCCACATGAGGGGTCACACCTGGGGGAGGTCTACAGACAGCGCACACCCCCTAGGACGGGTCACACCTGGGGGAGGTCTACAGACAGCGCACACCCCACATGAGGGGTCACACCTGGGGGGGAGGTCTACAGACAGCACACACCCCACATGGAGGGGTCACACCTATGGACGGGGTCCACACATGGGGAGGTCACACAGACAGCGCACACCCCACATGAGGGGTCACACCTGGGGGAGGTCCACAAGACAGCACACAAACCCCACGTGAGGGGTCCACACCTGGGGGAGGTCTACAGACAGCACACACCCCAACAATGAGGGGTCACATCTGGGGGAGGTCTACAGACAGCGCACACCCCCCTAGGACGGGTCACACCTGGGGGGAGGTCTACAGACAGCGCACACACCCCACATGAGGGGTCACACCTGGGGGAGGTCTACAGACAAGCGCACACCCCCTAGGAGTGAGGGGGTCACACCTGGGGGAGGTCTACAGACAGCGCACACGCACCCCTAGGACGGGTCACACCTGGGGGACATCTGCGGCAGTTTCCTTGCTTCACCCCGCACAGGACTATGCTCACCCCCGCACTGGACTATGACGCAGGAAGCCGGGTAGGTGGTACAGATGGACCTGAAGATCTTCGCTCCCCTCCAGACAGGTTCCTGCACTACTCTAAGGGTACCGAAAGGTCCGTTTTCACCCCTCAATGTCCTCGATTGTACGGATCCCAGCAGTGTAGGGGAAGGAATGGTGTATGAGGAGCACGGAAGGATCCTCGGTCAGGTATTTATTGCTGTGTGTGTCCAATCAGTCCCGATGTCCCTGGGCCAGGAAATGTGAAGTCAATGGGGACACCTTGGAATCATCCACATCCTGGTGCCTGATGTAGGCCGACTCCAGCAAAGTATAACTTCAGAGGCCCCCCCCACCCCCAACATTACCCACAATCCTGCTGACCTCCAGGTCCTTCTAGGTGTCTCCACCTCTGCACCGCCTCGTGGTGACCCCAATGTTACAAATGTATAGTATTGATCTGTGCTCACCGATATGGCAGTTGTGTATCCAGATTCGATGGCCGTCGTATTTGCAGTTACATTTCATGGCGTTATTGGTGAAGTCGCTCTCGGCCACCTCAAAATTTGGGGTTGATGACGACCTGGGAACAGGAGAGAACCATGAAGACCAGAGGAGACCACCAGCTGCTAGAAGAGATACGGAGATAGATGTGTGAGCAGAGAGTCGGAGACGACGGCTCCACCATCTTAACCTGGAGGATGTAGTTTCCGGGTTTGACATCCGTGATATCGATCCATTGACAGTCAATGTCATGACGGTACATAGTCCCCAGCATCCCACCGTGATCCCTTGTTGCTCCAAAGTTGGCGCATTCATACCGCTTACTGACCACTGCCGAGACACCGACACTTCCAGTGAGGATCCCACAACCATGCGGGCAAAGATATGCAGTATATGGAGAGGGGGGACGGTATATAGAGAGAGAGGGGGCTGTATATTGGAGAGAGAGGGGGCTGTATATGAAACTAAGAGGGGGGGCGGTATATGGAGAGAGATAGACGAGGGGGGCGGTATATAGAGATAGAGAGAGGCGGGGGCGGTATATGGAGATGGGGGGCTGTATATAGAGAGAGGGGGCGGTATAGGAGAGAGAGGGGGCGGTATATGGAGAGGGGGGGCGGTATATAGAGAGAGGGGGCGGTATATATATAGAGAGAGGGGGCGGTATATAGAGAGAGGGGGGCTGTATAGAGAGAGAGAGGGGGCGGTATAGTTTGTTATAGAGAGAGAGGGGGCGGTATATAGAGAGGGGGGGTGGTATAGTAGAGAGAGGGGGCTGTATAGAGAGAGAGGGGGCTGTATATAGAGAGAGGGGGCGTAGTATAGAGAGAGGGGGCTGTTTATGAGAGAGGGGGGGGCTGTATAAGAGGAGAGAGGAGGGGGCTGTATATAGAGAGAGGGGGGGGCAGATGGTATATAGAGAGAGGGGGCGGTATATATAGAGAGAGAGGGGGCGGTATATAGAGAGAGGGAGCGGTATATAGGAGAGGGGGGGCGGCGTGAGGGAGATAGAGAGAGAGGGGCGGTATATAGAGAGAGAGGGGGCGGTATAGAGAGAGAGGGGGGCGGTATAGAGAGAGAGGGGGGCGGTATATGGAGAGGGGGGGCGGTATATAGAGAGAGGGGGCGGTAAGAGAGAGAGGTAGGCGGGCGGTATATGGAGAGGGGGGGCGGTATATAGAGAGGGAGGGGCGGTATAGAGAGCGAGAGAGTATGAGATTAAGAGATTAAGGGCGGTATAAGGAGAGAGGGGGCGGTATAGAGAGAGAGGGGGCGGTATATAGAGAGTAGGAGACGGTATATAAGAGAGAGGGGGGGCTGTATAGAGAGAGAGGGGGCGGTATAGAGAGAGTGGACGGGGGGCTGTATATAGAGAGGGGGGGCTGATATAGAGATAGAGGGGGCGCGGAATGAGAGAGAGAGGGGCGGTATTAGAGACAGGGGACGGTATATAGAGGAAGGGGGGCGGGGTTGGTATAGAGAGAGGAGAAGGCGGTATAGAGAGAGAGGGCGGTATATAGAGAGAGAGGGGGCGGTATAAGGAGAAGAAGGGGAGCGGTATATGGAGGGGGGGGGCGGTATATAGAGAGAGGGGGTTGCGGGGTATAGAGAGAGAGAGGGGCTGTATATAGAGAGAGAAAAGGAACGGTATAGAGAGAGATGGTCGGGCGGCCCGGTGCCGGTGGGGTCGGTATAGAGAGAAGAGGGGGCGGTCGCATATGGAGAGGGGGCTCGTGGTCGGGGAGCGGATGGTGTATATAGAGGAGGGGAGAGGGGCGGTAATAGAGAAGAGAGGGGGGCGGTATAGATAGAGAGGGGGCGGTATAATAGAAGAGAGGGGGCGGTAAGAGAGAGAGGGGGCGGTATAGAGAGAGAGGGGGCTGTATATAAGAGAGAGAAGGGCCGGTATAAGAGAGAGGGGGCGGTATAAAAGAGAGAGGGGGCGGATATAAAGAGAGGGACGGGGAGGGGCTGTATATAGAGAGAGAGGGGGCGGTATAATAGAGAGAGGGGGCTGTATATATAGAGAGGGGAAGGTATAGAAGAAGAGGAGACGGTATAAAGAAGAGGGGCAGACGGTATATCAGAAAAGGAGAGGGGGCGGTAAGAGATAAAGAGAAAGGGGCGGTATATAGTGAGAGGAGACGGTATATAGAGAGAGAGGGGGCGGTATATAGAGAGAGGGGGCGGTATAGAGAGAGAGGGGGCGGTATAAGAGAAAGAGGGGAGACGGTAATATAGAGAGAGGGAGGAGACGGTAAGTAAAGAGAGAGGAGACGGTAATAGTAGATAGAGGGGACGGTATATAGAGAGAGGGGACTGTATATAGAGAGAGGGGACGGTTAGGAAGAGAGAGGGGGACGGTATATAGAGAGGGGCGGTATTTAAAGAGGAGAAGGAGGAAGTATATAGAGAAGACAGTATGAGGAGATAAAGAGAAGGAGAAAGTATATAGAGGAGACAGTATATAGAGAGAGAGACAGTATATAGAGAAGAGGAGACAGTATATAGAGAGAGAGACAGTATATAGAAGAGGAGACAGTATATAGAGAGAGAACAGTATATAAGAGAGGAGACAGTAATAGAGAAAAAGACAGTAAATAGAGAAAAAAAAAAATATAGAGAGAGAAAAGACAGTATATAAGAGAAGACAGTATAAAAGAGAGAGGGGACAAGAAAGTATAAAGAGAAGATGTATAGGGGGACGGTAAAAAGAGAGAGAGGAGACATGTATATAAGAGAAAAATTAAAAGTATATAGAAAGAGGGGACAGATAAAGAGAGAGAGGAGAAAGTAGAATAGAGAGAGAGGAACAGTAGCGAAATATAGTGAGAGAGTGAAGATAAAAGAGAGGAAGACAGTAATATAAGAGAGGAAACAGTATATAGAGAAGACAGTATATAGAGAGAGGAGACAGTATATAGAGAAGACAGTAATATAGAGAGAGGGGGACAGTATATAGAGAGAGGGGACGGTATAGAGAGAGAGAGACAGTATATAGAGAAGACAGTTATATAGAGAGAGGGGACAGTAAATAGAGAGAGGAGACATTATATAGAGAAGACAGTATATAGAGAGAGGAGACAGTATATAGAGAAACAGTATATAGAGAGAGGCTGGACAGTATATAGAGGAGAGGGGACAGTATATAGAGAGAGGTAACAGACAACACGAATCACAGCCCTCCCACTGACATCAGACTGTGATTTGCAGGTTTGCTGGTCGGTTCTGTTTTGTGAGTTCTGTGGAAAGATGCGTTCCATGTGCTCCTCACTCTCCATAGATTGGGTTGGTGGCCATTTTTGTATAGTTGCTGGAATTGGGGACACATTGGACACCTCCAGCTGCCTCTGTGCTCCTGCTGGGCCTCCAATGTGGTCCGTGCTCCTTTAAGGAGGGAATAGGCTCTCCTCCAGCATGCCTGCCTGTTATATATGATCCAACATGGAGACTCTCATGTAGAGACAAGACAGCTTCCACAAATATGTATTCTAAAAACCTCTGTTTATTAAAGCAATATGTTAGAGACTCCATTGCCATAGCAGGACAGTGACACCTACTCCCTCTACCATGGAGAAAGGGCCAAGATCATCACCTGAAATAGGACAGTGACACCTACGACTCCCTCTACCATGGAGGAAAGGCCAAGATCTCACCTGACATAGGACAGTGACACCACTCCTCCCTCTACCATGGAGAAAGGCTGTAAGATCTCACCTGACATAGGCCTTCCAGTGACACCTACTCTCTACCATTGGGAGATAAGGCCAAGGCCTCACCTGACATTAGGACACAGTGACACCTCAACTCCCTCTACCATGGAGAATAGGGCCAAGATCTCACCTGACGTAAGACAGTGACAGCTACTCCCTCTACCATGGAGGAAAGGCCAAGGCCTCACCTGAACATAGGACAGTGACACCTACTCCCTCTACCATGGAGAAAGGCCAAGAACTCACCTGACATAGGACAGTGACACCTACTCCCTCTACCATGGAGAAAAGGCCAAATCTAGCCTGACATAGGACAGTGACACCTACTCCCTCTACCATGGAGAAAGGGCCAAGATCTCACCTGACATAGGAAGTTCAGTGGACACCTACTCCCTCTACCATGGAGAAGGGCCAAAGATCTCACCTGACATAGGACAGTGACACCTACTTCCCTCTACCATGGAGAAGGGCTAAGGCCTCATCTGACTATACGACAGTGACACCTACTCTTCCCTCTACCATGGAGCGAAGGACAAGATCTCACATCTGACATAGGACAGTGACACCTACTCCCTCTACATGGAGAAAGGCCAATGCCTCATCTGACATAGGACAGATTGACACCTACTCCCTCTACCATAGAGAAGGGCCAAGACCATGTCTGTCATACATAGTTGACAGATACTTCCTCTTCCATGGAGAAAGGCCAAGACCACACCTGGATATAAAAGGTGACAGCTACTCCCTGTACCTCCCTCCTCTCTTCTAGAGAAGGCCAAAGACCACACATGAGATACAAAGGTGACAGCTATTCCCTCTTCCACTGAGAAGGACTAGAACGAAATCTGATATATGAATGTGACAGTAACTCCCTCTTCATTGAAAAGGGCCAAGACTACATCTGATATACAAAAGTAACAGCTACTCCCTGTGCCATTGAGAAAGACCAAGACCACATTTGATAAAGGAAGGTGACGGGTACTCCCTCATGGAGAAGGGATAAGACCACATGTAATATTATGAAGGTGATGGCTATACCTTCTTCATAGAGAAGGGCTAGGACCAAGCCTGACATACAAGGTGATCTCCCACTGCCATGGATAAAGCCAAGATCACATCCAATATAGGACGGTGACAGCTTCTCCGTCTGCCATGTAGAAAGGCCAAGACCATATTTGATAAAGGAAGGTGATGGCTACTCCCTCTACCATGGAGAACGGCCAAGACCACATCTAATATCATGGAAGGTGATGGCTTATTCCTCTTTATGGAGAAGGACCAGACCACATCTAATATATGAAGGTGATGGGGCTATAGTCCTCTTATGGAGAAGGACCAAGACCACATCTAATATATGAAGGTGACGGCAAATCCTTCTATATGGAGAAGAGGCCAAGACCACATCTAATATTATGAAGGTGACGGCAAATCCTTCTATATGGAGAAGAGCCAAGACCACATCTAATATATGAAGGTGACGGCTAATCCTTCTACATGGAGAAGGGCCAAAACTACATCTAATATTATGAAGGTGACGGCAGATAATCCTACTAAATGGAGAAGTTCAAAACTACATCTAACCCCCCCCCCCCCACATCATGAAGGTGACGGCTATTC